CCCTTGTCACATAGTCTTTCATAATAAACATCACCCCCTGACCTAGCTAATAACTGTGTAACCTCCTGCCTTTGATTCTTTATCTCCTGCTTATGTTGTCATAAGGAATGCAGATGGCAGCTCAGCCTCCAACCTGTTCACAGACAAGAAGGAACACCGCTTTGAAAGAGACACTGGAAAGTAATTTGGGATTATCCAGGTGTGTGAAATCAATGGTTTCCACTAAACTGTCCTACAGAAGTGGTTCCCCACAAAGCTGTGGGGGATGAAGCGTGAGATGGAGTGCAAACATTTCACAGTTCAGAGCTGGCAGGAGTGAAGGTTTTGGTTCAGATCATTTTAACGGTGACAAATCTGGATCTGGGTCCAGATCTGGAAATGGCTACACTTGTCTTCTAACATCCTGACGTGTTCAGGTGCAGGATTTTGCAGGACCAAGACTTGGCTCCTCATGCTATCAGCACACCTCTCTCAGGCTGTTCCTCCCTCGAAAGCCTCCATGATATATAATACAGTCTTAAAGAAAATTGCACCTCTGTACACTGCACAAGATGGATGTGGGTGTGTGTGTTTCCAAACCCATCACACAGACAGGACACATTTTGGAACCAGATGATGGCTCATGCTAAAAACCTAGAAGCAATCAAGGAACAATTACTCAGGAGACAGGCCGCCAGAAATGCTACCCTGAACTGTGATCATGTTGCATCTACCAAGCTACCCAGGTTAACACCGGGTCAGTCTTTGAGGAATGCCCACACTGCAGGAATCAGTGCTGGTGATTCACTCTGCCCTGAATCCCTATAGAAGAGTGCTCCAAAAGGGCATGGACTGGGCTATTGGACATGCAGGATTTGAGATGAAGCACTGAGTACTTTAGCACTCCTGGTTGTTAAACTTACCATGACACTTCTCACTCCCTTCTCATCAGTGCAGAGGCAGAAAAAGATCTTGGAGTCATTACTGATGCCAAAATGAACATGGGCCAACAGTGCTGGGACGTGGTCAGGAAGGCCAACCGCACCTTGTCGTGCATCCACAGATGCATCTCGAGCAGGTCCAAGGAAGTGATCCTCCCCCTCTATGCGGCACTGGTCAGGCCACAGCTGGAGTCCTGCATCCAGTTCTGGGCACCGCACTTCAAGAGGGATGTGGACAGTAGCGAGAGGGTCCAGAGGAGGGCCACTCGCATGATCAGGGGGCAGCAGGGCAAGCCCTACGAGGAGAGGCTACGGGACCTGAACCTGTTCAGCCTCCACAAGAGAAGGCTGAGGGGGGATCTAGTGGCCTGTTACAAACTAGTCAGAAGGGACCAGCAGGCATTCAGGGCGTCCCTGTTCCCCCGAGCACTGCCAGGAGTGACTAGAAATAACGGTCACAAGCTGGCAGAGGACAGATTCAGGCTAGACATCAGGAGGCGCTACTTCACTGTCAGGGTGGCTAGGATCTGGAACCAGCTTCCAAGCGAAGTGGTGCTGGCTCCTACCCTGGGGAGACTAGACGAACACCTTGCTGGGGTCGTTTGACCCCAGTACTCTTTCCTGCCATGGCAGTGGGTGAGACTTGATGATCTGCTCAGGTTCCTTCTAACCCTACTAACTATAAAACTATGAAACTTTTTGTAAAAGCTGGGTGGTTAAATGTGAATGTCCTAGCTATATTCCAACTTGGGTAATTACATTTTGCCTCCCAAAAATCCCCCTGTAATTTCAGTTTTGCTATGACACTCTTTTTCACTTTCTGTCTTAATAGGTGTCTATCACTGCTGTGCACTGTTAAACTGTGACTCCATTTCTTTGCTCCATTCCTGAGCTAACTCTATTCCACTGGTTGGAGAACAGGTCCCCCCGTGTATAGCAGTTCATAAAGCAGAAGGAGTCACCCTAACTTGGATACAATGCGAGACGCAAACTGTCCCGAAGTAAAGTGGCCCCAGATCTCAAGTTGATTCTAGTCACTATAGGAGCAATTATATATACAGCAAAAGCTGTGTTAACCAGCACTTTATTAGTTGGAAAACTCTATTAACCAGCATCCAAGGGACGTGGCAAAAGCGAAACCAGACGCACCACTTCTGGGTTTCGCTGCCACAGCAAGCAGAGTTCTTGCCACTTCTTCGGCCCACAGCAGAGCAGCCTAAGTGGGGCAAAGCAGCCGGCACAGGGGCCCCCTCCCTGTCCCCCAGCACACTGACGCCAGGGAGCGCACCAGACGGTGTACATTTGATTAACTGGCATCCCCCAGTCCTGGGGGATGCCAGGTAACAGAGCTTTTACTGTGTGTATATACACACACACACACACACACACACACACAATATCTATATTTTATATATACTTTGAATTTGTATACAATATGTACATATGTGTGCATATAATATAGATGTATTATATTATTATATGTATAATATGTAATATTGCATACATAATGTATTATATATATAATTATATTTATATTATAAGAATGGGTATATTCTACCTGTTATACTTGGATCTGGATCTGAACTTCCTCAAAGATGAGAAGTATTTGAGCCTGACTCATCTTCAAAGAATTTGTAAACAGATGAATGCTTTTTTCTAGCTGGCTGCTAGAAACTTTCAGCTTAGTTCATCTTATAGTGGTACTCAGTACCAGTGAGTGCGTCTTCCCTGTGAATGCGAAAGGAGGATGCTTGACAGGGGTCACTTTTCAAGGGAATTGCATTGGCAGAACCCTGGCCCGTGGCACAGAAACTAGGCAGCTTTCCCACCTGGTGATGTCATTCCAAAAGGCCCAGGTAGTTCCCCTTTGCTTTGTGCTGAATGAGTCATATTACCAATAGGTAGCTGGTTCTAGTACTGGTGGTTTACAGATATTAGACATTCCGGAAATCAAATCTTCATGCATATCTAATTTCATGTCTTTCAAAATGTATAACACATAGGCATAGGCCAGGCCCAGGAGAAGCCATTACCCCACAGAAAGCAGTCACCATACCCAAGAAGGAAATGCTGAGAATTCCTTCCTTTTTTTAATGGTTCAACTAACAGAAGGAACTGGGTCACTCAACTCAGTGGGCCTGTATAAAATAAACCCTACATGACCAGGCTTAGCACCTGCCCTTCCCCTTGTTCTGATGTTTAAATCTAGGTTTATCTGTTATCTGGAAAGTCGCCACCACTTCAGCTGCTACAGTGGGTATTGGAGAGAAAATGTCTGTTGGATTGCCACGGCCAAAACCAGTGAAGCTTTAGAAATTTGTCAGCATGTAGAATTTCAGATTTACCAGTTTAATGAAAGGGAATTGCATCTAATTTGGGTAGCGAACACAGCACACCAAGAACCACCCCCAAATCTCTTCTCAGCTCGATGCAAACTGGAGCTGTTAAGGAGTTCATGTACACACTTGGCCAAATTCAGTGGAAACGAGTAAGTTTTGGGGCTTCAAACCACAGGTAGGGAAGTGAGATGGAGTCCCTAGCACAATGGTTCTCTTTAGACTCCAGGCACCCCTCCAAGACTTTTGTGAATTGAGTGACACACCATTTCAAAAACAAATGTATTTATTATAGCACTTACCTCCCCGCAGAGGGGCCTCACAGTGGTGGTAGGGGAGCAGCCAGGGCAGGACAAACCTGAGCCTGTGCTGATCTCCTCTCACCTCGCTGCATCCTTCAAAGGATCTGGAAGCACCACATGGTGCCCTTGCACCCTGATGAGCAACAATGCCCTAGCACGTGCTAGGGGGAAGCTGGAATAAAATGTCAGTCACACCACCACAGACCTCTTCCACATCTATCTAGACTCAACTCTGGATCAGTGACCAAAGGAAAAATGAGCGATACTACTCTCAAGCTCAGTTCAGACTGCAAATGAAATAACAATGACCATCTTTAAATGCTACTGCTCTCACACAGCAGATGCTTAGTATAGTGTTTCCATGCCTATAGGAATTATTTCTGACAACCAATGTAGGCACAACATGATGCAGACTCGTTCCCCACAACATGGTATTATAACACAATCACAGCATGGTTCTCAGGAAAAAAGCAATTCCTCTCCGATTTGCTCAAAAGAAACCATGCTACAAATCTGCCAACAGCAAGTGTAGCAGCTACCACAATTTCATCTGTAATTTGGGCAGTGCCTTTTACCCCCTGCTAGTAGATAAAGGGAAAGGCACTGAGAAAGATATCCTCCTAAAAGACAAGTGCCCCCATGAATGGAAACAATAAAACCCTGTGTCCTTCTCTACATTAAGTACCACTTCAACTGTATTATCTTCTATTTAACAGTTCCTTCTGCGTGCTACTCATACAGAAGGGACACTCCATATGAAACTAAGGGTACTTTCTTCTGACCTCATGCCCATACCCTATGTGACCAATTAATTCAACTCTTCATAATGTCAGAAGTCAAAATCTACAATCTAACAGAGGCAGCTAATTACATGACGGAAGAATATAATTTGGGGAGAGATGTTTCTTTCTGTAGGGTTTAAGACAACTGGTAATCCTAAGCAAGGAGACAAATAGAGATACTGTAACAGAACCCGCTACTACTCATGCTAAAATCAAAGAGAATCCTTCCCTGTAACTCTGGCTCATAATGTACTAGAGACTTTCAAGCAGTTAACAAGTTATGAACACCCATTTCCCTGGCTGAAACAGGAAAGTCCCTATGGAAGGTAATATACACAGCCCTATCCTGCTCCTTCTCCAGACAGATCCCCCCACCTCCATCCTAGCTGCCTCACGACCATCCATTCCCCACCTTGTAACTCCAGGCTGTTGTGCACAACTCTCAGCAGATATAGGGAGGAAGGGTCCCATGGAGTGGACAGCCAGAGGCCCATGGTAACATGGAAGCAGACTGTGCCTCTACTGCTAAGGGCATGTTGACACGTAGGAGGCTTCTAAGAGGGGTCCTCTGCCTACAGGCAGCTTTAGGTATCCCGATTTCCTGAACAGGTGCTGAAATTGTAGAAATGGGAGCTCCTTAGAAACAAAAATGCTACCCACCTCTGAGGGCTTTTTCTCCTTCTGTCTTGACCAGTTGGATTTTGTATTTGGAAGTTTGGAGCATCTTGACACTGACGTTGCATGACCTTTTAATGAGATAAAAGATACCAGTTACATACGGAAGAGATTAATCACAGTTCTAGCAGTACGTAGCAGTACCCATCTCAAGCCCTGTCTCTACCAGAGTGTTCCTGGGACTGCGAGGCCACAGTGCCAGAGTGGGGTCCTGGAGATGGGGCAGCATGAGGAGACTCCCGCTACTACTGTGCTGCTCATATCTAGTTTGTAGATAAGAAGAACTATCCTGATTCTAGGGCTGTCGAGTGCTCAGAATATAAACCACAGAAAGACCAAAACTACAATACAGCAAAGGCTAAAAGAGCAAGAACCTACAAATGCTCCACAATTAACTTCTCTGTTCCATTATTTGGTATTCCTGTAGCCAACAGGTTTACGCTAATGCAGAAGTGAATCTGGGTCTGTGAAGACAGGTAATAAAATACGTATATGGCAATTCACAACTGTAGACTCAAAGAACTTTACAAAGTGGGGAAATATGATTCTTAACCCCCTGGCACATGTTCATTTAAAGGCGCCATGGGATCTGATTCTCAGCTGCACCTCCTGCCTTGCCACAGATGCCTATCCAAATCATGCCCCATCTATCTAATAGTGAAGGGGGAACCTGGGATCATAACCCCAGCTCTTCCATACTGACAAGTGGAAGGCCAGGTGCCTGCAGGTCTGAGGCTCAGGACAACAATCAGCTGTTGTTTAAGGCATCATACAAACCAGCCATAAAGATGTTCTACTTTGTATGTGGAACATTTTTATGGCTGGTTTGCCATTTTATGGTGCCTTAAATTGGATGCATGTGTAGCATCCTTGACATCGATGCCACAACTAACATGTTAATTGAGGCATACATGTAATGTATAGAGGGGGTCTTAGAGACAGGGAAACAGAGACACTAAGTGGTCCAGACCAGTATCTTTCAACCAAGTCATCTTCAAAGTTAGAGACCTACGTTCACATTTATACTTTTTGATAAGAGTGGCTTTATTTCTAGAAGGACTGACTTCCTGCAGTGCTGATGGTTCAGTACTTCCAAAATCTGGCAACTTTCTAAGTGATTTAGGGCTAAAATTATTTAACATAACCTAAAATAGAGCACAGAAATCTGTACTTAGACTTCAGATGCCAAAGTAGGAAACACTGACTAACCTGATATACAGGCCATCCCACAAATCAAGGACACCGTCAGATTTTGATCCAAGGACTATCAGCTCCCAGGCCTATATGCAGTCCAACAGCCTCCAGATGTACGTAATGAGAATTACACACACTATGTTGAGTGAACAGACTCTATGGGCTTCTATACACATGCAGGGAGCCCGCTCTTACACGCTATAATTCCAGCACGTTGGAGCAGACTTTATTAATCAAGTCTGTTGAAGCATGGAAATTAAAGCGTTCCAGCAGCCTCCAGCGTATCAGCATCCCCATGCTGAAAAATGGTGGCAAGGCACTTTCAAGCTCATTCAACAAGCTTTAGTTCAAAGCACCCCACCACCATTTTTCAGCGCGGGGATGCTGAAACATGTGATGCTCAGAGGCACTCTTAATTAGCACAGCTCTCGGAGCTGTGCTAATTAAAGTGCCCCCCATGTCTCCAGAGCACGTGTATAAATGCCCTATACTCCCACCACACTGCAGCAGTAAATATGCCTTTGCCTTAGGACTCACAATCACTTTACCTTGGGATCATTATTAATGTGCTCTCATTATTCCGAGTCATGTGTATCACCAAGCAAATAACGACGACAGAAGCAGCAATGACAATGAGGATGAAATGATGGATGTTTTACTACTGAAATGTGATGGAAGAATAAAGTCTATTCGCCCAACAATGTTTTGCTATTATATGAATGTTTCAATAATTATAGCATTATTATTTATTGCCTATTACTTGAGAGTGTGTAATAAATAGTAACAGCATAATTATTGAAGTGCTACTATAATGATAAAAATGGAAACTCCACCTTGTAGTACAACAGTGCCCCTCCACATACTTCTATGTATAGATATTTTATATCTGGGTCAGACATAAAAGTAATTTATGTTGACTAAGAATTACATACACTGATAACTTAAGCCAATTTAGGCTTAGATTTTATCCCCTGATGGATGAATGGGCAGATGCAAGGAGGTCTCTACCTGGTGCATAAACAAAACCAAAACACAAAAGAAGCTGGCAGAAGCATAGCTCGTACAACACAAAGGCTTAAAAAATGCGTACACGTCTAGGGCCAGATTCTCAGCAGGTGTAAATCAGCCATTTGAGTCCCTCCATGTAAGTCGGTGAAATCAAGGGAGACGTGCGAGGTTGCCCAGCTGAGAATGTAGCTCTCAGTTCAAAAGTCAGGGTCATTTGTATTCTGGAGAGTCTAGGGTTCCATCAAAGCATACAAGAACAACAGGAGCTTAAGACCCTGATGTGCTAAATAATTCAGGGAATATCTGTACTAAGTCTCCAAAGAATAATATGTCATTTGTTAAAAATGTAATAAAATACAAGAAATGTCGATAATGAGCTTCCATCCTTGGCACCAGTGTGAACTCTCCCTCTCCATCTCTGTCTTGGAGAATCCATTTCCCACACGCTGCTTCATGACAGTTGAGATGCCCGTCCCCAAGGTATTCTTAGGGGGTGACCCTGGTTTTGGAATCTGGTCCCTCAGGCAGCTGGATGCATCTCGGATTTGGGGGGTTTTTCAGGTGCAGAGAAAAAGAGATGTAAAAGCTCCTTGTGGATATTTTAGTTGTTGCACCTATTTTACTGGCAGTAGAACCAGCACTAAGTTAGTTTCTGCCAGCTGCTGGCCAAAGATGCTTGTCTTGATTGCTGTAGCATAAGGGCAGATGCCATGATAGTGAGTTCAATATAAAGGGAACTCAGTTAGGATAATACAAATATATAAATGGAGCATGGGGACAAAGTACACTGCACATGGCCTCATCCTGCAGCCATTACCAGCTCAAACAGCATTTACCCAATGAGTAAAGGGGACAGAAACTGGCCTCTCACTTTCACTGTGAGATCAGATCAATAATTCCCACTCTGGCCACCCCTAAGCCAGCTACAATACAGCCTTAAAACCATGTGAACCAAGATAATACACAACTACCATCTCGTTCTGGCAAAGGCGTAAAAAAGGTCTCCGTGTTGTTTACAGTTAGGCTGCGAGAGAGCATTTGTCATCAGCTAAGTATCACCTGCAGCATAAATACCAAAGTCCAATAGAGATAAAGCTATGTTGTTCAATACTGTGATTAAAGATGCCCTAAGCCCAAATTGCACAGCAGGTAGTCAATGGTGCTTGTAGCAGGACTCTTAGGCTTTGGGCCCCAGAGGGTTGGGAAGGGTAGTGCTTAACCTCCACATGTAGGGACAGCCCAGAGATAATGACTTTTAAAGGTCACTGTACAAAGAAATGGGCCTGGAGCCTGAAGCACTTGATATGGCCCAACCCAAGACCTAGAGGGTTCCAGACCTGTGCTGGAACGTAACCAAGATACAGCAGGTGCTGGATTAGACCATACCGAGGGGCAGGCATCACACGGAGGGCAGCACTGCAAGCTTCAGTTAAGCTGTCCTGTCCTGAACCTTCCTTAGGAGGAAAAGAGTTTCCTGGGGCAGAAGCAGCAAATGTGACACTCAGTGCTGGTACAGGCACCTGTCTCCCAGGCACAGGACTGGGACCACTTAGGTAGTTGCATGTAAATCACTTGGCGAGCCTTTAGACAGTCACTGTCACAGATGACACGGACTCTGCCTACAGCTGTGGGAACTGCAGAACCCGCTGTAATCCAGCAGGAAAAAAATCCCAGCGAGCCATGCCTTTCCTGACACCTGAGCCCTCCAAATCTTGGGCAATCTAATAGCCTGTTTCTGCAAGTATGCAGCACTCCAGGCTCAGAGAAGCCCACGTATGCTTACTGGTCCTTGGGGTCACTAATCCTATATCTTAAACCAAGAGTGACCTGGAGAAAACTAAACAGATTGGCTGAGGGATCACATTAGAGTCTCTGGAGTAACAAGTGTTAAAGGCACGATTCCTTTTAAGTTCCTCTGCTGTGAAAACATGGCAGCAAATGGGAGTGGAAGGTTCTCTGCAACTGATAGGGCTATGTCTTAATGCCCTGATTCAGCAAAGCACTTAGCATGATCATATAATTAGGTTTATGCCTTAGTGCTTTGCTGAACATGGATGAAGTCAAACATACACCCAAAATTAAGCATGTGCTTATTGGCATGGCTAAATAGGGGACTAAATGCTGTTTTACCCACACAAGTCTAGCTCAAGTTGTGGAAATGAGGTTCCATACTCACGCTGACTTCAGGGGGTACCTGACACTTAATTTCTCAGTTAAAACTTTACTTTCCACCAGTAGTACTCCATCTAAAGCTAAATGCCGCCCCCCCCCCCCC